TTTTAAAAGGATGCTCATTGCACTTTTCTAAATGGGGCAAAAACCAGCCTTTTTTTCTTTGTTTTTATAAACTGAACTGTGGCATGCATGATGAATTAAGGGGGCTGGTGAAAGAGATGGTTTAAATATATATACTCTTCTGAATTTGTGTCAGTCTCTAAGATTCTATTTTATATATTCCATTATGCAGGTTGTAGTGATTTGTTGTTATCACTGGAAGATAACCTGTTTGCACCCCCCTCCCACTCTTGTTCTATAGGTATAAATAGTACAAGCTTAAACTTATCAAGAGAATTCTATCACTTCAATAGTAAGAAGTTTTCAATATACAAATTGTGAGTCACTGAAGTGCCAGTCAGTGGATTTGGGTGTGTCTGTCTAATAAAACTTAAACTTCTTTGTAATTTAAACCCATACCACTTCCTCCCGGCTGCCCTCCCCCTAAAACTGCCTCTGTCCACTGTAGTCTCTAACGAGAAGAAAATGTCAGTGGGATGGTGCCTTGTTAGCTATTCTAGTGCTTTAATCTTGGGTGGCAATACAAATCAAATGTTTGGATTGGTATTTCGTGCTAGTGTACATACAGCATTTCAGCTTTTTTAGTTTAACAATATCTTTTAAATCATCTGGCTATAGTATTTTAAGTACTGTCTCTTTAAAAATCTATTAATAAACTAATAAAGCGTAAGTCCTAGTGTTTTAAAATTACTGGAGTGCTTTGTGAGCAGCTCAGCAGTCAATTATGGCATCATTAGGAGTATAAATGGAGGGGGAGGGGAAATGAATAATAATGACTAAATAAGCAATTATGAAATACAGATAACTGATACAAAAATTCAGTGAATTGAGGACAGAAAGGAGAGCCTGTTTTCTTCAAATAGGATTTCTTTAAAAAAAAACCCAAAACAAATGTTTCCACACCTCCCCCTTTTTTGTTCTAGTTTTGATGGGAATTGTGTGTGTGTGTGTGTGTGTGTGTGTGTGTGTGTGTGTGTGTGTGTGTGTGTAATATATAAATAAATAAATAATATGAAAAGGCCCTTGCCTTGCATTCTGTTTCTTGCTGTTGGCATGACCTTCATTAAGAAGTACGCTAAAAAAATATCCCCCTACACCCATCTTCTGGTGCATAGATTTTGGGTGTAGGGTTATATTTGTTCTAGTAAAGGCTTCCCTATTTTCAGGGAGGGAGCTTTGGTCTACTCACTTTACTTGCTCCCCTACCTGCCACATACACTAGTGGGTGCAGTGCTGCCCTGCCTGGCTCCTATGGGTGGGCAAGAGCAGCACAGAGCAAGCCCTGTCATGGCAAAGATTCCTGAGGGCGATACTGGCACCCCTTCATAGATAGGGGCTGGAGCCCCACTTGCCCCACTCTAGTTACGCTCCTGAGTCTTTGGTTATAGTACAGCCTCCCTAACTCTGATTTCTACCTCATGTCCTATTATCTTTCGGGAAGAGAGCAGGAGCTATGAATACTTGGATATCTTTTTTTTTTTTTAAGGAAATGTCCATAGTAAACCTTCAGACTTGGTGAGTAGAGCAGCTTTTGATAGGAATAAAGACTTTTTAATGAAGGCTTGATATGTTGATGTTTGAACGTATCACAAATTATGGTGGGGCCTGTAGTCTAAGGCCTTCATAGACTGAAGATGTACAAGCAATCTGAACATATTCCTTTATAAGTAGAGGGGCTACCCAGTGTGAGTCACTTACATATCCTGTTGCTATTCTCTCTCCAGACTTAATGAAGGCAAGGAGCCAGTTTCAGTGTGGAAGGTGCAATTCACTGCTGTCAGACACAAGACGAATCCTTTAATCTTCTTTTAGGGTATTGCATTGTACCCTGGTTATGTCCTAAATAGGAGGCTTGGGATGTGAGAGGAGGAATGAATATATTTATCACACTGAGGCCTATTAGATATATTTTATAAGCTGCTGGTATGAGGGAAGTCATTCAGTTATCACTGAAAACATTTTTACAACTTGTCACTTCCGAGTTGACTGTGAAGCTAGTGTGTGTGCAGCAAATATTTTGAAATTTTAAACAAGAGACGTGATTCACCACCTCATGAACTAGTATATACACTGCTGTCTTGCTTCACTGGTTTCTCAGTGTAGTATATTTTTGTTCTTTCTGTAGAACTAACCAACAGCTTGGAAGTCTTGTGAATCAAAGAATAAGCAACAGATGTAGTGGTGTTTTGTAGTAAATCTGTCTTTAACAGGTTTAATTTATGAGTATATGCAAGTAACTCTTAGCACACACTTGATCTTCCAGAGCTAATTTTGTTCTTAATAGGGTCAAAAGTGGAGTAGTGAAAAGCAAAGCAGATAGCATGGTTGAAGATGTGCCAGTGCTATTGAATCTTTGAGTCCAGTTGTCAGAATTTTGGAAGCTAAAGACTAGCTAAAGGGGAGTTAATAACCTTAATTGGATGTAGATGATTGTGTTCATAGATGTTACCAGCAACTTTTGGCAATGTTATTACTAGTCAAGGAAAAGCAAACAAAATTTTCAAATGTTAGTTTACATCTTTAGGCATTTGTGATAACCATCCTTTTCAGCTTCCTGAGCGAAGAGAGGCAGTTTAAGACAAATGTCAGGCTGTTCTCCTCCTGGTATCGTATCCTTAAGCTTTACACCAGATACATTCTCTGGAATCTTTTTGGCTCCAAGACCCTGTCACAAGTGTGAGCCAAGCAACCTTCTGAGTGGAGGGGGCAGCAGAAGGCTCATCTCTAGCCTGATAGTTAAGTCTCCAATTAGCCAGAAAGGGCTCTGAGCTATCTGCTCCCTTGGGACTTGACTGTATTTCCAATGTGCCCCTAGCATTGGCTAGCCTGAAACTTAATCTTGTCAGGTGTCAAATGCTCTTTATATAAAGACTTTTCTCCAATAGTCCAGCGAACAGCTGTATGGTAGGAAAGTCTGGTACTTGATAGCTTTATATTCATCAGGTTTGATATTTGGTATATCAAAGTCTCAGCTTTTGAAGTAGTGACCTAAAGCTTTTCCATTTTAAACTGAGAATTTGCAGCTCAAGTAGTTCTGTGCAGGTTCTGTAAGAATATATAATACAGTACTTGGTGTTCTGCTGTAATATCTACTATAGCACATTTAACATGGTAGTTAAAGGACTTTTAAAAAATTCAATAAATCATTAAGTCATATTAATAGCATTTCCATTGGCTTGTGCAACTGGAGAACTATTGCCAAAGTAGATAGTTGCTTTGTAAGAATAAGACAATTGAATTTTGCCAAGAGAAATGTCTGCTTGCTGCAGAATCATTTCACATTGACAGTTGGCTAGAGTGGTGTTTTTGGTATTAATTTCAGAGGTAGAAGTGGGGGTGGGGATTATGTTTGTCTGTTCTGTACATTAGCAGCAAAGTAACATGCTTTGTGCTAATCTATTTCTTCTCCTCCAAGAATTTTGGTGCACATCACAAAAAAAAAAAAAAAAATCCTTATGCCATTATAAAAAAATAAGTATCTCATTTTACTGGTGGTGACACTGAAGAACAAATTCAAAGACATGTACTTGGTACTGCATAAGAGTATCTTGCAGAGCCATTGGCTTCAAACTCAGAGTTAGTGGAATTCTGCAGAACAGAATTGAACAAGCCTTTGAACTAGTATGAAAAGAAAACTCTACCTTTCTCTGCAGCCTTCTGCTCCCAGCCTCAGGCCCAGGGGGTTGGACTAGACCTCTAGAGGTCCCTTCCAGCCCTACTTTTCTAAGATTCAAAAGTTCAGCCTGGCTGTAAGAACACTTGTTAGGCTAATAATAATATTTCAGCTTTTACAGCTGAAGTAATGCCATCTTATTAGCAAATTTCTTATAATCAATTAGCGTGTTGGAAAAGCTTCATTAGTAACTCAGACTTAAGAACATTTGTGTTAAATTCATTGAATGGTTTTGAACAAGTTAAAAACACAGCACTTGGTGATGAAAATCAATAGGCAGGAACATGTTTAAAGATTTTCTTGCTGCTCCCTTGAACAAGAAGAAAATATAGTGGAAGGAATAAAATTTCAAGGGGAATGACTGGCTTAGAATTTTGTGGGACTGTTTCTAAGGGTGTGGGCAGATGTAGTGCTTGGAATGTCCTAAATACACTTTTAAACCCCAAGGGTGCCTATACAAGAGTGTGGAGGCTGCACCAACATGCTGGAATTCCAGTGCGTTGCAGCAGACTCGATTAATTGGGTCTGCTGGAGCGTGGCAGTTGCCACACTCCAGCAGCCTCCTGCGCATCTCATATCCATGTCCCCGCACTTAAAAATGGTGGTGGGAGTGCTTGAACTAAAGCTCATTGAATGACCTTTAGTTCAAGCACCCCCGCTGCCATTTTTAAGGGATGCCGATGCACAAGATGCAGCAGCGCTTTAATTGGAGCGACTCTTGGAGCCACTCTAATTAAAGCACCGCCCCCACCCCCAGAGCACGTGTAAAAGTGCCCCACGAGTTTAGATGAGCACACCACTTAAAGAGTGTTTCTTAAATTTGCTGGATTGTTTCAAAAGCACGCTGGGAAAATCTAGTATGAAGTGGTTCAATGCATGTTTTACTTGCAGACATAGAGCGTTCCATGCCTAGTGCCTGGTCAGTCCTCCAAGCTACATCACTTCTCACTCCCTTCCTGTTCCCCATCCCTGCCAAACCCATGCAGGGCAAGGGGTTGATCTGGGATACAGACCAAGCTCTAGTGCCCAAAAATCTATTGCCTACAGAGACCATAGTCTGCAGGGGTAGGAAAGCAGAAAGCATCTGTTTTTGGTTTCACTTCCCTGCTAGGGACCCTGGGTGGGGGTCACAGAATCATTTGGAATAGGTAGCCAAGTACCAGGTGGGGTGGGGGGCTTGCTATGTGGCCCCCTTCTGGTTTCCAAGGGGCTGGGTGCACCCTCCCCACCCCACAACTCCAATTTTAAAAAAAATTCTTTTAAATTTGTTTTTTGCCTGCACTAGCTATTTTCATTTCCATGCTTATAGGTCCCAGGCCTGACTACAAGATTGTGACACAGAGGGGTGAAGAACAACTAATGGGCTAATTGACTTCACATTTTGAGATGGAATTAACAGATGTTCTATTCTATTAAGTACCTGTTCTGCAGTGGCTCCATCTTCACCCTCCCTCACACCAAATACACACCTGAGCAAGTGGCAGATGTTTCCTGCTATAAGAAAACTTCACCCTCTGCAACAAGCAGGGGGTCAAACAGCCCCCCTCAGCACCTTTCAGTCCTTCAATTCTCTACCATACTCATGCCCTAAATGAGCATGGGGCCACCACCCCTGCCAAGTGGGGTCTATTTCCTGTGATGGGGTCTAGGCTGTTTGCCTTGTGTACCTGTGCGTGCCCAGCTCACCATACACATTTTGGTAAAATGTAAGTGTTCCTTATTAAACACAATAAGCCTTTCTTTTTCTTTCTTTTTTTTTTTTTTTTTTTTTAACTCAAAGTTTTTTTGAGAAGCAGATGCAGAAAACTGCAATTGCAATTTGCAGGCAGTGGCATCTTCCTCTTCCTCAGCGTCCAGTCAATTCTGGTTTCTTCCCTCTCTAAGGGAATCCTTGGAAAAATCCAGGCAATGACCCCTGGAAGGCATGATGGTCTGAGTAGCCTATCACTTCTTGGTGGTGGTTTGGCAGCAGTGCAGTCCCTAAAACATGGCAGTCCTACTTAGAAGAACCTTTAGAAGTGTACGGGTAGACATTTCTGTCCAGGGACAACTATGAATCGCTTCCTAATCGGTGAAACTCCTGGAATGGTTCAAGTGTTATGTCTGTCTGCACTGTAATGCTGCTTTCTCCTGTACTGGCTTCTCTTTTATTATCCAAGGACTCTCTGCAGCTTACATCAGTCCTGTTTGTATATCATTATACCTGCTCTCCCATTTAGAACACTAAAACCTTAGTAATGAAAAATGCATTGTATAGGATTTATGGTGATGAATGTTGACAGTAGTGTTATGAATGCTGGAAAATCAGCAATCCCATTGTAATGCCTATTGGACCTTCAGTGAAATGTCTGAGGAAACTAAACATACAAAACTGAGACTTACTGAAGGTCATACTGCCTTGCAATCTCCTTGGTATGCTTTACTTGGCAGCTATGTTGGCTTTGACCAACCCTTTGGTATTTACTCCTTCGGAGATGGACACTTCAGGGTCAAATGTGAACTGTGTATGGTTTTTTCCCACTGCATCAGAGGCAAGTGAAAAAATACCCAACTATACACCTACATTTCGGGTCTTTTCTAGGCATATCTAGGCATGTCTTGGCATATCTGCTGCTGATGTATAGACTTTTGGGGGTGGGGGGTGGTATGTTTGTATGTGTGTGGCACTTATTTTAAGAGACATGCCCCCAAAATGCAAAAATATTTTTGAAGATTTGGGCATGCAAGCTGCTGTTTATAACTGTTTTAACTCTGTACCACTAATTTGCTCCCCTTGTTCCCCCTTCCAAAAGTTGGGCAAATTTAACCCTGTTGGATCATAAAGCGCTGACCCAATATAGATCTTTTCTTTGTTAGGGTGTTTTGGTTTTTGTTTTCCCTCAAAAATATATGAAGCCTACTTCTTCCATGTCAGAGAGGGAGGAAAAATAAAAGGGGTGGGTATGTGGTTTAAAAAAAAAAAAAAAATTGCACTCTTTTCAGGGATCATACCAAACCACCTATTTTGTTTCATAGTATATCTTCTTTTATTAAGGTAGTATGCTTAAAAAATGGGAGTTTACAGCTAAATAGACTTCTGTTTTAGAGAAGAAAATATCCTGTAGTCTTTAATATTTGATCTTAAGCAAATGTTAAAAATTACAGGATATCTTTTTTTTTTTTTTCCTAAAATAGAAGGATATATAGCTGTACACTCCCATTTCTTAAGCATGCTACCTTCCTAAAAGAAGATATATTATGAAACAAAATTGGTGGTTTGGTATGATCCCTGCAACGTGAGTTTTTTTTTTTTGTTTGTTTGTTTTTTTAAGAGCTTAATGTCAGTAGAAATTTTAAATTCTTGTAATGTGGCTTTCTCACTGAAACACAGAATTAAAATACATAATCCCAACTTTAATAACATTTATTAGAACACTTAATGCTATTCAACTAATATAGTTTGAGAGCAGCATATTTATTTGTCACTAACAAGTTGTTAGACATTTAAAAATGTTGATGGGGGGAAGGCATTACAATGAAACTTGTATGAGGAAGTAGGATTATTAATGTTTGTTTGTTTGTTTGTTTGTTTGTTTGTTAACACTCCCCCTTTCCCCCTCCCTCCCAGTCTTTATCATACCCTTTATTTTAACTCCTGAATTTTGCATAAGTAGCATTGACAGGAAAAAAAAGTACTTAGTTTTTAAACTCTTACTACTAGCTAGAACGTCTAATTTAATATTTTGCCTTCAGTAAACAAAGCTATGAACGTTGAAGAAAACCATTTCTATATTTGTAGATATTAATATAAGCAGTGCCTTCATTAAGGGCTGGTCACTATTGAGTTAAGCTCATTGGTTTCGATCTCTTATAATTGTTTATAATCTGTCACAAGATAGGGAGGGGAATAGAAAGGTTTTGTAACTGAGTGTTTTTAGATGCTAATTAACATGGCTCAACACTACAGATTAAAGAAGATAACCTTTTGCACGCTTGTTCAAGCTGTTGGGGAAATTGTTTTTTTCCTCTCCATATAAAAAAAAAAAAAAATGTCAGGTCATTTGAGACAGAGATGTTTCTGGTTTGGTCTACCCCTTAAGGAAAGGGATCAGTTGGTTTCTGGTAGCCTGACACAGATTTTTTTCAACATGAAATTCTGTATTCCCTTTCCTAAAGGCAGTCCATGTTCTTTCCATTCCAGAGTACTTCTACCTTACTGTTGTGGAGCAGGTGCACACCATTTGCCTTTAGGAACACTTGCTAATTCAGCCCTGTAGGTTAGGTAAACTTTTGTGACTAAAAACAAGACCAGAACTTGTGCACACCACTTTTTAGCACCACCCTAAATGTTACATGTCTTTGCTTGCTACCATGTTTACTCAGATACAAAATTAGTTTTCCCCTTTTCCCCCTCCCCCTAATTGTCAGAGGAAAAATGGCTCTCATTTTATAATTACATACGAGGAAATCCCACTAAATACATTGTCTATCATTTAAACTATTGCCAAAAGCAACATGTGCTTAGCAGTGGAAACCAATTATGAAGTTGATTTTAAATGTAGCCAGCACTGAGCATGTCTATAAAACATAGCCCACATTGGGCAAAAGTCATGCTCAAAAGTGTGTTTATGGAGTATCTGTGCTAAAATTTGCAGCAGTTTCAAAAAGTAATGTTTTAATTGTGGATGAAGTAAGTTCATGGGTACTATATGCAAATTGCTAGAGCTATGTTTAATATGAAGGTTATGATTTTCAAATTTGCCCCTCCTTCATGTGCTTGGGTAGAGCAGGATCTGACAGCAAGGAGCGGGAGAGGGCAGGGAAAAAGGGATACCAGGGGACAATGTTGGAAGGGGAAGCAGAGTGCAAAGCGGTCCACTTGGCCCTCCAGACTTATTTTCCTTCCTGTAGCAGTGGGAGGGGGATAAATTCAAAACAAACCTCCAATAATTAAATTCTATACCTGGAAAATTATAACAAATCTATACATTTTCAATATATAGAATCTAATTATTGGGGGGTGGGGTCGTCTTATAGTCAGGGTTGTCTTCTATTCAAGTAAACAGTATTTTTCAGTATGTGGTTGACCACTGGTCTCGCTTGGTTTTTATAATATAGTAAATATTGTAATGTTCTCTTACCAATGTGTTTTGTTAGAGCAAGTTGTTGCGTAGTCCTGTACTTATTTTTATCTGCCTAGATTCTGAAGTTGTTTATTTGCTTATCAAAAGTAAATATATAATAGGGAAGAGAATATTTTGCCACTTTGTAGGAGAGCATCTTGTGGAAAACATGAATAATCCTCACACAGGAGGTTTCAGAAAAGCAGACAGCCTTTTATTTTAGGTAGTACAATGGCAAAGCAAAACCAGCTTAGATTTAGCCCAGGGAGCGAGTGCAATTGGTGGCCATTCTCTAGCAGTTGAGTAGTGATTATAAACCCTATGATGTGGGGATGGGGAGCTGAAATATTTGATCCTGGCATGAAAATATTAACAGGTAAAGGAAGTATAACATTGCCGTTTGAGTGACTCATTCTCTGTTTTTCTCTTCTCATTCCTCCTGTCTGGAATTCAGCGTACATGAACCTGACTAGCCTTGCAGTTGCCCAAAGCACAGAGCAGAAGCCATGGGGTCAGTTACCCACAAGGCTATGCTGTTTCTACTCTGCTGTTTTTCAAAGCCTCCGGGGAATTGTGGCTGAGATGCTGGATCTCTATTCATCAGCCCCAAGCTATAAAGCAGCACATTAGCATCCGCTCCAACATGTTTTGAGGTGCTCTAGTTAGGATGGCGCCGAATGTTTATTTGGCATGGCCACAATCCAAATTAGAACTACATCTATTCATACCCTAGGTGCCTTATAGTGGTTTCTTCAGGGAGGTGACACTTTATCTTGTCCTTCTGTCAGACAGAGGATCAGTGTAGTAGAAAGCAGTGGATGATGGAAAAAATAAAAGTAGAAAAAAGAGTATTTTTCTTGAGACTTGGATGCCCCTCTTTTTACTGATTAAGTAAAACAGTATTTATTGAGCTCACAAAATAGTTACCCGTCTGAAAAAGAAGTAGGATTATTTTAGACTGAAATCCTATGCTTTGTGGTGCTGCCAGAGGGAAAGGGTAGACTTCATCTTGTTAAGAAAACATTCACCCTTTATTAGATTTAATCATGAACTCTCTTATATTGCATAATGGACATTTTGCCTCCATTTAAGCATTTTAATTGGGGCCTGCATAAGGGAAAGA